TGGGAGAAGCAAGCATATTGAGACCAAGTATCATTTTCTGAGGAATCAAGTTCAGAATGGAATAATAGAGGTTGTGCACTGTAGCACCCAGAAGCAGCTGGCAGATGTTCTGACAAAGGCTATCAAAACTGATCAATTTCTTGGATTAAGGGATGAAATTGGCGTTGTCAGTTTTGGGTAAATATAAATTAAGGGATGGTGTTAGAATTTGTTTAGATTTAATTAGATATTAATTTATATTTAGAAATATCTTTTAGAATGTTTATATCTTTGTTAGAAGATATAAATCTTAGATCTTCTTATATCTTTGTAGAAGATATATTTTAGATTTAATTTGTGTGTATAAATAGCCTAGTGAAGTAGGTTATTGTAATTCATTGTAAATCCTTATTTTTGAAGCTATCAGTAAATATTCCTTTTGTCTTTTATCTTTCTTGTGCTCCAACAGTTTTAACATCCATTTGGTGTACTATTAAGTTATAAATAACAGCTATTGAAATAAGTACCATAATGGATGTAATTCTAGTGACAGGAGAAAATGTGTCGAAGAAATCTATATTTTCTTTGTCTAAAACCCTTGGCAGCAAGGCGAGCCTTGTATTTATCAATAGTTCCATCAGGTTTTAGTTTCTTTTTCAAAATTCATTTACAACCAATTGGTTTGCAACCAGGAGGCAAGTCTACTAAGTTCCAGGTCTTGTTGGATTCTAGAGATTCTATCTCATCATTGATAGCTTCTTGTCATAAATCAGCATCCAGAGATGACAAGGCTTCTTGAAGATTCATTGGATCTTCTTCTACATTATAAGCCGCATAATCAGGCCCATAGTCTTTAGTGACTCTTACTCGTTTACTTCGTCGAAGTTCTGTTTCTATATTATCGTTGCTTTATGTGCTTCTTGTCACATGAATGTGACCCGATTGTGTTCCCCCACTATTTCTCAATTTGAAAGGAAATTTGTCTTCATAGAATTCAGCGTCGTTTGATTCTATGATACTTTTGCCATTAGGTCATAAAACCTATATGCTTTACTGTTTGCTGCATACCCAATGAAAACACATTCATATGCTTTACTAGCGAGTTTAACTCGTTTCGGATCCGGAATTCTGACATAAGTCAGAGAGCCCCAAGTTCTCAAATAAGACAAGTTTGGTTGTCTTTTCTTTAATATCTCATAAGGAGAGATCTTACATTTTGACTTGGGGATTCTATTCAGGACATAGCAAACAGTCAATAAAATTTCCCCCCACCAGTGAGGTGCAGCACCAGAATTCATCATAATTGCAACAACAAGTTCAGTAAGAGTTTTATTCTTTCTTTCTGCTTTACCATTCATTTCAGGAGAATATGGAGCAGTCGTTTCATGGACAATTCTATGTTCTTTATAAAAATCATTAAATAGACCAGAGTCATATTCAGTTCCCCTATCACTACGAAGTCTCTTAATCTTCTTACTAAGTTGATTCTCAATTTCAGTTACATACAACTTAAACATATCAAGTGCTTCACTTTTATTCTTCATTAAGTATACATAAGTATAATCAGAACAATCATCAATAAAAGTGATAAAATAACGTTTACTGTTTCTAGTTAAAGTTCCATCTAATTCACATATATCAGAGCGTATAAGATCTAGGGGGTCAGATTCTCTTATAATTGATTTATGTGATGTCTTAATTATTTTAGCTTGACTACAATATTCACATTTATTTGAATCATTGACATTTAATTTAGGGATCAGGCCTAAGTTGCTTGCATTATAAATAATTCGCTTATTAACGTGACAAAGTCTAGCATGCCAAATATTAAAATCACGCAAAAAATAAACAGAAGGACAAATTTTATTCAAATCAACATTCAACTTAAACATGCCATCAGTGGCGTACCCTTTCCCAACAAAAATACCATTCTTAGTGATGGTGTACAAATCTGCCCCTATAGTTTGACTAAACCCAACCTTATTTAAAAGAAAACCAGAAACAAGATTCTTTCTAATTTCAGGAACGTGCATGACGTCCTTCAAGATCAAAATCTTTCCTGAAGTGAACTTCAACTCAACATCTCCAATTCCAGCAACATTAGTGGTGTGACCATCTCCCAACAACACTTTCTTATCTTTAGCATTCATGTATGTCTTGAACATAGCACGATCATAACAGACATGACGAGAGGCGCCAGTGTCTATCCACCAACCATCACTTCCATCAACCATGTTGACTTCAAGTGATCATAGCAATGAATTGCTCATCAGTCAGGTTAACCTGTGCATTTGAGCCAATAGCAGGTTTAGGCCTGCTCTTACATTTCTTAGCCATATGACCCGGTTTCCCACAATTGTAGCAAGTGAAAACCGGAGCATCAAACTATAGAAAAGACTCTTGATAAAGCTGAAGGCACACATCCAAAAATAAAACATTGAAAAAGACCGTACATTGGAAATCAAATTTGACAGTGAAGAATGCAAATTCATTGATAGAGCGTTGGCCATTCCATCACAAACCACCAACAAAACCTTCAGAGGCTGACTTGACAATTAACTCAAAGGAGAGGACGACGATGACGACATAAGTCTAGAAGAAAGACCTCATGAAAGGGGTGAGAGAGCATGATACAAATGTTGTGCAGATGCTGGTCAACTACATGTTTGGAGATCATACTTAAGAAATTCCGCAACAGTGAAAATTAGAGAGTTGGGATTCAGAGATGGACCAAATGAGCTGCCACCACCTGAATGGTTAGACCAACAACTACCATTGTCGAAACCACCATTCTTCTATATCAATTGGTTTCTATCAACTTGCTTTAGTTGTATGAGAGAGAGTGTTGGGCTAAAATGACAAACACGAAAATAAACTCAATATGGCAAAGATAGGAATATTTTGTTGGACGTGTTGAAATATTAGACGGGGTAGAATTAGGAATGACATATCGTTATAGTAAGAGTTATCGTAACAACGGTCGGGGATGGAACTCCTCATTAGTTTACAAGGCTCCAACCCCTACCGCAACGGTTTACAATTATTTTCAGGGACATTACTAAGGTGAAATAGTAATCCACTTCTAATCATTTTCGGTTGTTGTCTCGTACACTCATGTGAATACCAAATTTCCATCAATTTTCAATCATGAATCCACACATCTATAGTGAGGTCCCTATGTTGGAAGACAAATACTAATATGAAATAGTAATCCACACATCTACCGCAACGGTTTTCAATTATTTTCAGGGACATTATTAAGATGAAATAGTAATCCACTTCTAATTATTTTCGGTTGTTGTCTCATACACTCATGTGAATACCAATTTTCCTTCCATTTTCAATCATGAATCCACACATCTATAGTGAGGTCCCTATGTTGGAAGACAAATACTAATATGAAATAGTAATCCACACATCTAATGCAACGGTTTTCAATTATTTTCGGGGACATTACTAAGATGAAATAGTAATCCACTTCTAATTATTTTCGGTTGTTGTCTCATACACTCATGTGAATACCAATTTTCCTTCCATTTTCAATCATGAATCCACACATCTATAGTGAGGTCCCTATGTTGGAAGACAAATACTAATGTGAAATAGTAATCCACACATCTACCGCAACGGTTTTCAATATTTTTAGGGACATTACTAAGATGAAATAGTACTCCACTTCTAATTATTTTCGGTTGTTGTCTCATACACTCATGTGAATACCAATTTTCCTTTCATTTTCAATCATGAATCCACACATATATAGTGAGGTCCCTATGTTGGAAGACAAATACTAATATGAAATAGTAATCTACATGTCTACCGCAACGGTTTTCAATTATTTTCAGGGACATTACTAAGATGAAATAGTAATTCACTTCTAATTATTTTCGGTTGTTGTCTCATACACTCATGTGAATACCAATTTTCCTTCCATTTTCAATCATGAATCCACACATCTATAGTGAGGTCCCTATGTTGGAAGACAAATACTAATATGAAATAGTAATCCACACATCTACCGCAACGGTTTTCAATTATTTTCAGAGACATTACTAAGATGAAATAGTAATCCACTTCTAATTATTTTCGGTTGTTATCTCATACACTCATGTGAATACCAATTTTCCTTTCATTTTCAATCATGAATCCACACATCTATAGTCAGGTCCCTATGTTGGAAGACAAATACTAATAGTATTTCATTTTTGAGTTGACATTACTCAAGTTCTTTTATAGATAACGACCACGATAACATAATATTCACATTAAATGCTCATAGGTTTTTCTTAATTTAATTATGTTTTTCCCTTATAATTGATTTAAAATGTTGTATTTTTAACAGACTTTTTCACATAACAATTAATAAGCCCCTCCCGTGCCGGTCTTAGTTTCTCCCCCGGCAGATATAGTAGAAAATATAATTAAGTCCCAACTTAAGTGGTTTGTGCATGTGTGAGCAAAGACATGTAAGACTCCGTAGTAAAGAGAGTTGATGAAATAGAGGATAGCCCAATTGCTAGCGACTAAAGAAGACCAATGACAATTGTTGAAAATTCCGCTTTCATTGCGATCTCCCCCTAGTCACCTAATTGCGGTATTTTGGTTTGCCTTCATTGCAGCCTCCAACACTTTAATTGTGTTGGGTTTGACAGGGGTGGATTTAGTCTCGCATTGCTTAGAGATATGCCATCTATAGTGTTTATAAAGCTTGGACAACCCTCACCTTTCGAGCAGGTTTTGTAGAGATAAGTTAAACCCAATTCAAATTTTAAGAACAACTATTGTTGAAGCTATCAAGAAAGACCTAGAGGTCAATGGTTTGGTTGGATCAGTAGGGGGTTAATCGGTGTAAAAAACTTTAGTTTGAAGGAGAGTGTAGAGTTTTATATTTATATTGTTTATCATTGGATATATTTTTGTTTGTCAAACTCTTAATGCTTCGTGTTAATGCATTATGAATTTAGGGGAGATGTTACATGATACTATATTTCCAAATTGATCAAACTTTATCATATTTGCAGGAGATTACTGCAGACTCTTCAATTGAGATCCCAAGCGTAAGTGTTGCAAAACAACTAATGAGGAGCCATGTACGCAGCATCCTAAACACATTAAGCCCAAAGGAAAGAATGGTAATCAGATTGAGATTTGGTATTGAAGATGGCTATGAGAAATCTCTGTCAGAAATTGGCAAGGTGTTGGGTGTGTCTAAGGAAACGGTCAGACAGATAGAGAGCAAAGGATTGGACAAGTTCAAGCACTGCCTTGTTGATCAACAGCTTGATATGTAGACTTGATTGTATAATCATCAATCAATAGCATATACACTAAGTCTGTTCAATTATATTGATTATCGTATCAAGCTTTAGATTATGATTATTTGATCATTTAGATATTCATAAGTATATATATATAGTAGAAAATATAGTAAGTTATTTTGAAAAAAAGGATATAATGAAATATCAATTGTTTTTTGAGTTATATAAGTTTATATATTTGATATATGTGAATATTTTAAATTTTACTGTTGATTTAATTAGTCTATTTGGAGAACTTATTTAATTACATAACTTTTGTGAAACTATTTAAAAACTATTTATAAAACTTATGAGAATAAATTATGACATCTTTATAAGTTGGAATTTTAATAAATTATTTTATTTTTTTATTGAAAACAATTTAGAATTTAAATACAAATAAATTGATTTTCTTTTAATTTTCTTTGGTTATAATTTTTATTTTATTTTTATCAAGTGTTATAGAAATAATTAATACATTAATATTTATATGATAACAATGCTTAAAAAAATTATTTGAAGGGCACGTGTCAGTGTTAATTTTTTTGAGAATTTTGTAGTCTACTGTAGTTTTCTCTATTTTGAGAAATTAGTCTAGACAATTATGTGTAGAAAATATTTGACTTATAAAAAAATTTGTTTATACATTCAACTTGATTTAACTTTTACATTTTCAAAGGAGTTTTATTTTTATTGGATTTTTATATTTTGTTTGAGAATTTGGAGGGAAGAGGAAGAGAAAGATTCCAAAAATACAAATATAAAAAAATATTTAATATTTTTTAAAAGAATAATTTTATATAAAATGATAAAAGAGTATTATATATTTAAAAATTTTATATAAATTTTTCAAAACTCTTCAAAATCATTCGGTCCATTCCTCTTAAAGAAATTTTAGTGTTACAAATAAGAGCAAAATTTTCAAAATTCTTTCAATCAAAATCATTCGATTTTTTTTATTCAATTTTTTTTTTGAAATCCCCCACTCCATTCCTTTTCAAACTCCTAAACAGACCATTAGAAAAAATTGTGCACTTATAAGTAAGAATATATTGTTATTTATTTGTTTATATCCCCAAATCCTCATTCATTTCCCTATACTACTACATATAAATATATGTGGTAGAGTTTGAGTTATCTTCAATAAAAAAGTATACAAGACTAGTCTAAAATTTTATAAGGAAATGAAATGACACATGCACAAGCAACAAAACATGAATTATGTCCTTTTGATACTCAATTTGACAAAAGCTACACACATGTGATTACTAGTAGAACTTAAAACGACATAATGATGTCACAAGAAAGATACACGTGGGTGCAAATAGTATCAATGTTTTGTTTATTACCTTGTACTTTATCTTTAACCATATTTAGGACTTAAATTATCATCCTTAAAGAGGAAATGTATCCATCTTTTCAAACCAAGAGATTAGAAAGCTCATATTAGTTAGATGAAGGGCCCTCATTAAAGATGTATCCTCAAACCTAATAAAGGCTATTCAACTTCAAATCAAGCTAAACAATAAACACATGATAGGTCCTATGAAGAAGACATCTAACTAATTAAGTACTAGTACTAATTATCATCACCAAACAAAAACAAATCCTTCACTTTTGTATCTCACTTTCACTTTCTTGTCAAGTTCATCCCTCTATTATCTCTTTAGCAAAAATATTAGACTCTTTCATTGGGGGATAGTTTTCAATTTGTGTTTATATTTCATTCGTATTATTCTCGTCGACGGTCTCTTAACCAACTCAAACAATTTGGATGTATTTCATAAGTGATACTTACTTAAATATTAAGTTTAAATCCATGGCTAAAGTCTAGGACTTAATAGATATTCATTCAAGAAAAAGATTCGGTAAGCATATTTCTACGACAAACTAAAACTCTGCGATAAAGCAAAAATTAAGAACAAACGCCGGTATTAATTTTTAAAAGAGATTTCATATAACCCCATGATCAACAAATGTACATACAAAAAGAGTAAAGATATACATACAAAATTCACCATTGGAATGAAACATAGGGAAGAAGAAGATGAATAGGAAACTTCTCGCGGTGTCAACACAATCCAAGATAACCTATAACCAATCGACAAGATGCACCATCCAATGATGTTGGGTAAACCTCTAAACTACAAAAAATTGGATCAAAGCTCCTCTAAGAGGAAAAGAGATGATAAAAACCCTTAAAAAATCTAATTTAAGCTATTTATACAGAACTGAAAAATGCAGAGCGCGCTAAGCCCCAAAAATCGGGCTTAGCCCCAAAGTGCGCTAAGCCCCAAATTCTGCCCTTAACCCCAAACTCACTGCCCATGCTCCAGAATCCGTGCTGGGAGCGCACTAAGCGCAATCTGAAGCAACTTTATTTCTAGATATTGATCAAAAATGTCTATCCTGAGTCGTGTCTTCGACACCTTATTCCTCGATGCTCTAAATACGCAACAATATCTACAAAAAGACATTAAATCTATCAAATGATACATATCAAATACGTAATAATACGTAAAGTATACATATTTACACGCAAAGCGATGAATTATTCAAAGAATATTAACAAAAGAACCGATAAGTGTCACAAATTATATACACAAAATAATGACATTTTGACACTTATCAACTCTCCCCAACTTGAACTTGTTTGTCCTCAAACAAGGCCAAACAACTCAAAGAACAAAAGTAACTAACCAAAGAATCATGAATCAACAAGTTTTTAAAACGAAAAACAAATCTATGGTTCATACAAAAACGCACACGCAAGGTAAATACTTACAACTATACTACAACGACAATATGTAAACGAAACGAATCCTAAGTACATAAATCATATAACCATTCTAAAACAAAACAAGCTCAATCATGAATCACGCCTAGTACTTTTGACACTCATCCAACAATCTTTCAAACAAAAGACTAAATTATGCATTTATCCAAAAACTCATATTGAAAATACAAAGGCAAGAATCATAAGGACTTTTCAATATTGTAATGTGGCTTAGTTAACAAACAAGGGATATGTCCTAAAGCTAATCCAAACAAAAACTTTCCTACACCTAAGGGAGTGATCAACTCATAAAGTTCAAGCAAAAAAATATAAATTAAACTTATTCTTCATCCCAAAGTTCACAAACCAATCACATACTTATTAACACAACATTATTCCGTACTCTTTTTATTTTTGTTTGTCAAAACTTTTTCTATTTCTTTTCTTTCTTTTTCTTTTCAATTCTTTTTTCATTTCAATTCTTTTTCACATTTTTTCTTTTATTTTATTTTTCACAACCGCATAGAAATCAACAACATAAGTGAGCAAACATTGCTCTCCCCAACTTGAATTCGACCAACATTAAAGTAAATACTCTCTATTTTCTAAGACAAGGTAAAAATTCAAACCATAAATCATGGTTGAGGATTCAATAAAATAAGAATCAACATCCATTCAAAAAGGAAAACCAAACACTCTTAGACAAGCATTAAGTTCAAAAATAACATGGACATTGACAGAAAGCTCAAATGGGTTACAAATGATCACACACTCACTAGGTGAATTGACTATTTGATTAGGGTAGTTATGCTAAAAAATGAAACAAAATTCCTTGACCATTTTCATGCTTTCATACAATCAACACAAAATAAAAGATTAAGCATAATAAAATCTAGCTAAAATAAGAATTGTGGCCACCTGCATATATGAACAATGGAAAGCTTCCTCACATTTGGGGGTAAAAGGGGAACTAAAGTGATTCAATCAAAATCAAGTAATGCAAAAAGAATGAATGGTATAGTAATTATACAAATGATAAATTTCCTAAACATGTTATGCTATAGAAAATGATAAACGAGTATCTGGCGTGTACCAGCTTTGAAAACTATCATTACCATACATCCGCAAGTTGAATCAATCAAAATCGAAAAATCACCTCAAAATTTTTCAAGTTACCGGACCAAAATTGGACGACAAACACAACAAAATTTATTAGAAAAATAATACTAATGTTATTTACTAATATAGAGCCTTGGTGAAAGTGGGAAAAAGGATGACGAAGTGAAATAAAAAGAGCTCACTGGCGCATCCCAGCAGAGCACACTAAGCCCCAAAAACTGGGCTTAGCCTTAAAGCGCACTAAGCCCCAAATACCAGGCTTAGCCCGCTACACCAGGTGCAGAAAAAAACAGGACAACAACATGCAGTCCTAAAACCATCTTCCACAATCACCTACACTATCTCAATTACACAACTAATCAGAGTTTACACACGTACACACTTTCTCAAGCTAATAAGATCAAACTCTCAGAAATTTAAACAAGTTGAAAAGTGAAGATTTGAGAATTTAAAAATAGGTCTAATTTCAACTTGTTTAAACAACAATCAATACACTACCTAACGAACAAAATAAAAAACAATAAAAATATGCTTGTTTTACGTCGTAAGCTCGACGCATGATATTTTACAAACATTTCACATTGCTTTGAATGAGCCAAATGCTTTCACTCCTTCCATTGCTTAAATCTCTTCAAGCTCTAACCGAAATTAATCACCTAACCACACTTTTGGAAAACGTGAAACAAAACAAGAGTACTATATACAAATGTACAAATCAAGTAAATGTACAAAGTAGACAAGTATGGAGAAAATGTACAAATATACAATATAGACATATTTATGAAACTTAGAAAGAAAAACTATTGCGATGTAATTAATATCAACATCAATCCCTAACAACGGCGCCATTTTGCTGGAGCGGTAAAGCGGCAAGTAAAAGTAGTATTTTTATGGTGAGATAGGTTATACGTCTCCACGGAAATTAGTGAGAGGGAAAAAATACCGTTCTGTTTCAATCCTTATAAGTTTGGAAAAGGGTTTGCAGGAAAAAGTGTAGGAAAAGTAAATAAAGCGATAAAAAATCATCCATAGTCAAGAGAATTTATTCTGGAAATGCATTTCACTCTACCCGTCAAATACTTAAACATGCAGATCAATT